ATTTATATATATATATATATATATATATATATATATATTACATTGACTCTTTGTTTGTATTTTCTGTAGGTATCTACAGAGAGTAGTGGCTCATCCATCTCTATTACAGGACCCGGATGTTCGAGAGTTTTTAGAGAGAGATGAGGTGACCGCCTTTGTCATGTTCCTAGACACATCATACAGTATTTTTAGTGACATATTTCATATCTAAACATATGTGTTTGTGTGTTTTTAGTTGCCCAGGGCAGTGAATACTCAGGCTTTGAGTGGACCTGGCCTCCTAAAGATGATAAACAGAGCGTCGGATGCAGTGAATAAGATGACCATTAAAATGAATGAATCAGATAATGTAAGAGGAGCTCAGTTCCTGCAATTCTAGGGCATAAATTCTCCCAGATCGTTGCATTTGACTAGTGATTGACACCTCTCTCTGTGTGTGTGTGTCAGTGGTTTGAGAGTAAGCTGCAGGAAGTGGAGAATGAGGAGCAGCTGCTGAGGAGGCTCCATGCTGCTGTCGACTCATTAGTAAACCACAGGAAAGGTGAGAATGAAAACTACACTGTGAAGCCGGTCTTTCAGATTCATACTGTTACAAAGCATCTCAAAGTCTTTCTCCTCTCGTAGAGTTGTGTAGTAACACAGTGGTGTTTAGTAAGAGTGTGGCCATGCTGGGCAGTGTGGAGGAGAACTCTGCGTTATCTCGTGCGCTGTCACAGCTGGCGGAAGTGGAGGATAAGATGGAGCAGCTGCATCAGCAACAGGCCTTCAGCGATTTCTTCATCCTCGCTGAGCTCCTGGCCGACTACGTCAGACTGCTGGGGGCCGTGAGGGTTAGAGAGCACAACCACATAATGCAAAACCAACAATCAGAGCCCACTGCATAAGTAATACGATGTTGTTTTTTGTGTTCTTTGCTGTCCTCAGTGCTGTTTTGAGCAGAGGATGAAAGTGTGGCAGCGTTTGCAGGAGGCTCAGAGCACATTGCAGAAGAAACGAGAGGCTGAGGCCAAACTGCTTTGGGCGAACAAACCCGAGAAGCTGCAGCAGGCTAAAGATGACATAAATGAGGTTCAGTTATCAACAGCGAATGATTTATGCACAACGCGCTTCAAGTACTGTACATTAGACCAACATGTAACATCCTTGTAGGGGAGCTCTGTTAAATTACAATATGATTTGTCACTATTTTGCTGTTAACATGGAACTGTATTCTGTGTCTCTGCACAGTGGGAGTCTAAAGTCAGTCAGTATGAGAGAGATTTCGAAAGAGTCACCTGTACTGTGCGCAAAGAAATGCTCAGATTTGAGGTAAGATATGTTGATGTTGTGTATAGATGTATTTTGGTAGAAATGCAGCACAAAACATCACAAGTGCAACAAAACCTTATTTGTACGGTAGTTGTTTCTCATAGGAACATCTATTAAAAAGTTTTCATGGCTTCTCGGTGATAAAATAAAGAGATACAGATTCATTCGTGGTGGAGGAGCTCTGTGATCCTACTAACCCAGAAATGCACTTCTGACATGGTCAGTCACATGTTCAGCATGATGATGAACGAAGACTATAGAATACCCAAGGCGTGTCACTCGTTTAGTTTTGAATGGAGAAAAATGCAAAGCTCAATATGGCTGCTCTATCAAATGAAGCCCCGCCTTCTGAGTAAAAGAGCCAGTCCCTAATAGGTAAAGTCAGCGCGTCACTGCAGCGGCCGTTAGAAGTCCCGGTTGCTATAGAAACAGTCAGCGTTCTGAGAATGCGCTTAGGACTGCGCATGTGCACTAGCTGATCTAGCCTGAAAAATACGCTTTTTTTTTTTAAACGCTATTTGAGCAAAATAAACAACATTTATGATACAGTTGTTTTCAGATTTCATTGGTGATTTCAAATATGAAATTTAATCGTAAGCTTGGCAAACAGTTTTGGAGAATTTGATGTTTCCCCATTCAAAGAGATAAGAGCTGCACTTGCATGCCCGTGAGGCGTTTCAAAGATGGCCGCCGAGTGACATGACTTTGTGATGAATTTTTTTGTCCTGGAAATGTCCTGCTTATTATTTGTCATTTAAATATTCTATTTAAAGGGATAGTTCACCTAAAAATGAAAATTCTGTAATAAATGACTCACCCTCATGTCTTTCAAACCTGTAATACCTTCGTTCATCGTTGGAACACAAATTAAGATATTTTTGATGAAATCTGAGATCTTTCTGATCCTGCTTAGACAACAGTGTAATTACCACATTTAAGGTCCAGAAAGGTAGTAAGGACATCATTAAAATAGTCCATTTGACATCAGTGGTTCAACCGTAATTTTATGAAGCTACGAGAATACTTTTTGTGTGTAAAGAAAACAAAAATAGCAACTTTATTCAAAAAAATTATTTTCTTCCGTGTTAGTCTCCGCCCCGCATTCAGGAAAGTAACACGACGCATGCGTGTGGTGTTGCTGATGCTGGAGCCGGTGTTCTGACATAGTACTGTCGTAAGCCTGTGTCAAAGTTTGACACGGAAGAGAAAAAATAGTTGAAGTTGTTGAACCACTGACTATTTTATCAATGTCCTGACTACTTTTCTGTGCCCTGAACGTGGTAGTTCCCTTGCTGCCTATGCAGGGGCAGAAAGCTCTTGGATTTCATCAAAAATATCTTAATTTGTGTTACGAAGATGAACGAAGATCTTACAGGTTTGAAATGACACGAGGGTAAGTAATTAATGACAGAAGTTAAATTTTTGGGTGAACTATCCCTTTAAGAATAGGAACACTGATGTGCTATGGTTTTATGGTTTTAAATGCCCTGCATTACAATTTACATTATTTACATTGGGCAAACATTGACTGTTTGGTCAACTGCTAAAATAATTAGTTATGCAGGCCCTAATTTATATAAATATTACATATTTTTAAATTTTGTTACATACATGTTGCTGCCATAATAATTGTCTATTTCAGAAGCGTATGTAATTTTGTTCTCGTTTTTCACTATAGAGGTGCGGTGACTTCCTGTATTATTCTTGACAAAATATATCAGTATCCATATTTAAAATGAAGCAAAGCACAACAGTTGCCAGATGGTGCTTGGTGACTTTGGATTGATCTCTTTTCCTAAACTCAAGACAGGTGGATTGGGACGGCAGTTAAATTACCACACAACCTCTGTTTGTCAAAAAACAGTAGGTAATGCAGCCAGGAATTTTCACATGGATAGTGGAAAGAAAAACAGTCATTCTGGATACGGACAGCAATAAAATCATCAACTTACCACTGTAAATGTTAAAAAATTATCTTAAAAAATCTACCAGCATTCATCCGAAATTCAGTAGTTCCAGTTCCAGAAGCTGTGACCATTGGCAATACTTTTTACATCACAAAATATAAGATTAAAATAGAATTGTTTTTCTGTGGCAGAAAGAGAAAGCCAGAGATTTCAAACAGCACATAGTGAAATACCTGGAGTCCCTGCTTCACACACAGCATAGGGTAAGTGTTTGTTTACACCACTGTACACACCACTATACACCACTGAATAGTTTTTCATGAATTGCTATTTATCTTAAACCAGCTGGTGAAGTGTTGGGAGGCCTTCCTGCCTGAGGCCAAAGCCATCGCTTGATCAGAGCCTCACCTCACACGCTCCTAACCTTTGACCTTGACAACAGACAATCAACAGTTCTCTCTTCCTATTTCCTTTGCTCTCTGTGTGTGAAATAACATGTACATCTTAATACTCGCTCATCGATAAGCAGATCCCCAGATTGTGATGGTAAACCTGTGCAGTGACACAACTGAATGTTGAGTGTAAAGGTTAAAGGTCAGAGCGGCATTAAAAAAGAACAGCTGTGTGTGGGGTGCAGCAAGAATATTTTTTTATGTGTGCACGTATGTGTGTGTTCAGTGTTATCCTTAAGGTTTTTAATGGTGCTTGGCCTGTGTAATGTTTCAGTAGAGACATTAAAGATCGTCGAGTGTCATTCTCTCTGTGTCATGGATGTGCATAGCCTGGGGTGAGACTGAAGTTTGTAATCCATTCCAGATAGAGAAAAACACTTGAGATGTTCACGAAGCACTCAACTCAGCCTGATGTTGCACCACATTCTTAAAATGATAGCAAAGTTAGAGTACGATATAGAAAAAAAAAAGATTCACAGACTATGAAGGGAAAATGTTTGGTGTTTTTTGAAAGAAGTCCCATATTTTGTGTTGATAGTTTTGCACACAACAGTTGCACTGATCTGAACTGGTCCAGATAAAGGTCTACTTGCAGTATAGGTGTACAAACATTTCTATTAAAAATTCTAAAAGAACTTGTTAAAACATACATTAATTACAAAAAAAGTTTAATTAATTTTAGGAGAATGTGTAAAAACATTTGTACTGTGGATGCTTTTAGTCTTTAACATGTATGCACCGCTGGTGTATTCATGATATCACAATACCTTGCAGAAACTGGGGCTTCATTTATAAAATGCATTTATGATCAGATTTGCTCCTCAATTCCATGAATTTGATTCTATGTCAAAAGTAAGGAGCATTGGGATTTAGCATTGGGAAAAAGCATGTGTATGAACTTCTTGTGCTCATATACCAGTAATTAAACTCGATTAAGACCATGTAAAGATAAATAGGCACACTATGCATTTATATTCACAAATTAGCAATATTTTAACTGCTTTGTGATGATTATGTCACTGCAATTAGCGAATTATATATTAATAAAGCCATGACGTGATATTAGTGTGCATTCTGTCAGTGTAGTTGATGGACTTCTTCACATTGCACATAAACCGTGATTTATTAAGTTATGCATTTAGGGACATTTTTGTGCATACAGACATTTTATAAATTGTTCATATGAACATTTCAGAAACTTTCGTATATTCACACATCATTAGATCATTCTACGCATGTCTATAAATGGGGCCCCAGGACCTTAAATGACATGGATATTGAGGGGACACCCCCATATTCAAAGCAAAGGTTCATTAATGGTTTTTTAAAGCCAGATTTACACCAATAATGAATTTTGGGTTATATGTTCTTGGTAAAAACATGTTGGTTTGAAGCTCTTTTCCTGACACTAGAGACTCTGTGCTGTTACACATGTATTATAAGCTTCCATTTTGACTATTAACATGATGTTAATGACCTGGTACAAGAAAGATGTGCATTTGTTTAAAACAGTTGTCCTGTCAAACATTGTCTATTTGATGAAAATAAAACAGAATAAAAAAAAAAAGTTGCTGTCATCTTTTCAGATTAAAGGGATAGTTCACCCAAAAATGAAAGTTCTGTCATTATTTACTCACCCTCATGTCGTTCCAAACCCATAAGACCTCCCATTCATCTTCAAGATGAACGGAGATCTTGCGGGTTTGGAACGACATGAGGGTGAGTAATTAATGACAAAATTTAAATGTTTGGGTGAACTATCCCTTTAAGGACACCATCTCAAACATCAGGATTTCATCAACTAATCAATATAGCATTTGTTTTAAATTAATCCTGTCATGAACATTGTAAGTCATGCCGAGATGTGCACTGAGACAGTAAAAAGACAATCATTAAAAACAAACAAAACATTAAAAATTACAACAATCTGTTTATCAGTCAATTTTGTATTAAATATGATGCACCTGGAACTGATTTTTTACTGTATCGAGACATGAAATCATCTTAAATAACTGAATATAAAATTTAATTTGTATTCACGTGATCAATGTAGAATGACAAACCATTAAGGAAACTGCACAAGATTAAAACTGCACATGTTGTTACTCTGAAATTTACTAATCAAAACTTCTGTGGCTGTAAATCAGGAGATAATCACATAAAAAGCATGAAGGTAAAATTCTGTGAGTGCATTATAAGGCCTAAATGTGTATTCAGTAGTCTTTCATTGCCCCATCTGAATCTTCAGGTGTTCACAAATATAGTAGAATTAATGGCCTGGGAGCACAAACAGCAGGACGCCAACAATCCTTGTGTTTTCAGAGAGGACTCGAGCCTCTGGAGGAGCTTCAGTCTCAAGAGTTTTAGTTCCCTCGTTGACTTTTGTACACAATCTTCTGTTTACAATAAAATCCCAGAGCCGAAGACACACATGAAGTCACAGCTGCTCAGTTACGGATCTGTGCACTAAGCACTGTGTTATAATGCCATGACGCCATCCCAAATCTTGATTCCCTTTTTTCTCTAAAAACACTTAAGGTTACAAGTAAAGTAATAAAACATTACCAACTCTTACCAGCTCTTCCCCAATATAAAAAATGTGTGACCAAAAAGAGTTCTGTCTTTAGAGTTTCTCAACAACTCGGCGCTGTGTCCTCATAGGTCCTCTTCACTGTCCCACAGTTCCTCTGTGCGGAGGAGCCGATATGATTGTCAGGAGTCACTCTCGTTTATGACATGACTGTAGCTAGCCATGGGCTCTTTTAGACGGCATAGCACTACACACAGCATCAATATCAGGAGGAAGAGAAGACATCCACACACAGCCAGCCCGATGATGACCTCTACACACACATATGAGAGAACTATCAAAATCAAATCTATATTAGTAATACGGTTGGCCATTTTATGTACGTATATTTTGAAAGATATTGAAAATTGTATCTTTTTGCCATATGGAAGTGCTTTAAATTGCAGTATAAATATCACTAAATAACAGTAGCCCCTCACTGCAGAACAAAGATCCAGGGGGCGGGGTTGGATCCAAGGTTATTTTCATAAACGAAAACTAAAACAGACGAAAACGACTGATGAAAAAACAATTTCGTAAACTGAAATAAAATAAAAATGGCAAAATAATTCAAAAACTAAAACGAAACTAACAACAGTTATTGATAAATAAATAATCGTTCTAGTAATCATTACGTTCTCACCCCTTGGCGGAAAAATATATTAGCTGTATGGCGCGGTTTAGGGAAATACACTGAAAAAAATTTTCATTAATCCAATTTTAAAAATTTAGGGTAATGATTCACATCTATACTTTTTAACTTTTCCTGTAAATGGCGCATCGCGCACGTGAGGTTATCTGACGGAGAGACGCAAAGCAGTTTAAAGCGGAGTCCTGCACGGGTCCTGTTTGGTAAACGTGCACCAGCAGTACTTAAAGGGGTCATATGATGCGATTTCAAGTTTTCCTTTCTCTTTGGAGTGTTACAAGCTGATTGTGCATAGATAAGATCCCTGAAGTTGCAAAGACTAAAGTCTCAAAACCAAAGAGATATTCTTTATCAAAGGTAAGACTCTGCCACGCCCCCCTAAAACGGCTCGTTCTAACACGCCCCCACATATCTACCTCACCATGTGGAAATATTTGCATAATGCGCCCAAATGTGCAAGCAAAGAAAGAAGGCGTGGTTTCAGTAACCGCAGTTAGTGTTGAAACAGCCATGTCAGGGAGACGCTGTGTGTTTCTAGACGAAAGCAAAAGCACTTTATTTGGCCTACCAGAAGTAGATGCATTTAGGAATCTTTAAGATCACTTACAACAGAACAGCAATGCATTTTATGGACGACCGTTTCATGAACCTAGAAGAGGAGGTAATTCTGACTTTGCTATGACAATCTGGCACTTCTGAATCAGCTACTGTTTTGTTATTAGTTTAAGTATTTGCTATTGACTGTTCAAATGCGGAGTTTTGAGCATCGTGTGTGTGTGTGTGTGTG